AATTTTATTTTTACAATTGATTATGAAATTTGTTTCTATTGCAAAAAAAAAAAAAAAAGATGGAAAATGAAAATCCACCTAAAAGGTGGAAAAGCAATTTCAACAAAATCAAAGAAAATGTGCACGTGTGAGAGAGTGAGAATGCAAAAGCTAGAAAATGGAAAAAGAATTCCTAGTCCTAGGGAAAATTAAGGGTATCAAACAGGCACTAATATTTTATACTAGACATCGTCTTTTTTTTTTTTGGTATTTTATGATTATAGACAACAATAGAAGTATTTAACTATATTTTAATGCGATTATACAATATTAAGAAAATCTCTCATTGATTGGAAACCGCATGGAAGAAGAAGTAATTGACATACTTAATTATGGTAATTAATACAATTAAAGAAATAATTAAATACGCGTGTGATTTTGATGTAAAAGGTCGGACTTTGTTACTTGACCAAACAAATTCACTTCCCCTTTTCGCATTCCATATTCTTACTCTCCAATATGATTTTGAAAAATAAATAAATAAATTATCCAACTTGTTAATATCTTTTTAAAGCAAAGAAAATTGGAAAAACAATATAAAAGGCATGGGATACTCCTTAAGATTTTAATGGCATAAAGCATTCTCTCTGGATATTTAGAGGGTGTTTAGTGGAGATTAAAATTAAATTTTTAGTAGATTGTGATAGAAGTTTTTGAAATGTGTGGTTGAAAAGTTGTGGGACCCATGAAAGATGTGGTTAATATTGATTGTTTGATTTTGACTTGAATTAAAAACAGATTTTAATACGGGCCAAACAAGGGCTTAAAATTAGGAATAGGAAGAAGAAAACATAAAAGTTAACAATAATCTTCATTTACTCCTAACAAAATCTTGAAAATTTTTTATTTAGGTAAACAAGACCTGTCGAAGCAAAAATTCCCGTGATTATGCTTATTTATTAAGTTAAATTAAAAAGGAAAAAAGATTTTTTTTTTTTTTTTCAATTAATCCTAACTTCTTTTATGGGCTCATGCATATCTTTGGGAGAGAGATTCCAAAAAAGGCGAATAAGATCAAGATGAATGGGTGGAAGAACGTGAGAGTCAATTTCCACACAGCAGTTAAGAACTTACCCTTTCATTTCTTTTCTCCTTTTCCTTCTTTATTTTTTTTCCTTCATTCGCATCACTGATCTTGACCTGGGGCTTTGAATGTTTACGCGTGTTAGTTGACGACATGTATATACATATATATGCTGTTTTCATTGTGGAGCTGGTTTTTTCTGATGGGTGTACACAGAATCGCCATAGAGTTCTCAGCTGGGCAACTGTGTTCATCTTCTCTAAGTCTTTGATCCGGAAAATCTGCTTCAAATTCGGTTCTGGAATTTTTCTCTTTTGAGTACTTATTTCTTTTTCTTCAGTTCTTGAGGTCTTTTTCTGTGCAAGTTCTAGCCATCACTTTCCCACAACTACTCCACAGTTCATGAGCCACCTTCCCCTTTTTGCTTTATAATATATNTTCAGTCACAGTCAATCAAGAAATACGACCACAAATCCCAGGTATGTGGACCTGTTTTTCGAGAAGGGAATTTGTTTATTAAGATGAAAATTCTGAAAAATGAAGAGGAAGGAATGAAGGAAGATCAGAATAATGGCTTTCAAGAGCAGGATCAAATGAATAATAATAAAAGGGTTTGTGGGTTTTGTAACAAAGTGTTTAGTTCAGGTAAAGCTTTAGGTGGTCACATGAGAATACACGTTCAAGCTAACAAAGATCTGGTTTTCGAGAAGAAGCTCAAAGCCTGTCAATCTGTCAAGTTCAAGAAACAGAATTATCTGCCTGAAGATGAGGATAGAGTTGTTGATTTTGTGAAGAAGAAGAAGAAGCATTATAAGGGTTACAATAAGAAACAAACTTGTACAATTTGTCATAAACATTTTCCATCGGAGAAATCGCTGTTCGGGCACATGAGGTGCCATCCTGAGAGAGAATGGAGGGGGATTCATCCCCCTACGATGGCAAGAAACAGCTCATCGTCATCTTCTTCATTCGACGCTGAGACTCAAAAAATGGATGATCGGATTGATAATTGGGTTGATTTGACAAAATCATTGAAGGGTTGGTCAGTGACTGCGAAGAGAGGCCGCAAGGCGATGGTGGCATCAAGCTTAGAGATTTCGAGCTTGGAGGATGATCAATTACGGGATGCTGTTAATGATCTTATGATGCTGGCTCATGGGGACTCGTACGAAAGTGGCCTAACAAATAGGCTAAAGGTCGATGAATCTGATAAAGCTAACAGTACTTCACTGAATTCCAAGGCTGGAATTTGGGACATTAGTCCGGTTTCTAAATTGAAGAAGCAAATAATCGAGGAAACTTACGTTGACGAATTGGGTTCCTCCAATTTTGAAGATGTTGAATATTTGCAAGTGAAAAGTGTGATAGATGTAGGTGAAGCGACAGATGTTCTTGGAACTGGGGTTATCCTTGAAAAACCCGTATTAGAGCTCGAGCATGAGGATTCCTCAGATGACAACAAGAAGTATTCAGTTACTAGTTATGGTAACGTGACAATCAAGAACAAGAAAAGAAGGAAAAAGGTGAAATTGAGTGATTTGGAACTGGTACAAAATGCTAGTCCAAAGTTGGCACTTCAGCCTGATAAGTACAATTGCAGCACTTGTGACAGGTCCTTCCCAACACACCAAGCACTGGGTGGCCATAGGTCCTGCCATAAAAAAATCAAGATTTGGGTGGACGAAGAAATTTCAAATCCCATTGTCCAATTGACAGACGAAACTAAAGAAAGTGAAGCTAGTAACATATGCAGGAGAGTGCTCGATTTTGATCTCAATGAGGTTCCTCCACCTGAAGACGAAACTGGTATAGAGTCTGAACTTGTAGTTAGTAATTAAGGTTATGCATCTTCCTCTTATAACTCTAATCTCCCTAAGTTAATTGAACTCAAATTCGTGTTATTTTCTGCTTATAATCAGCTAAGAAGTTATTATTCATAGGTGATCATTGCTTCTTGCTAATGTTTTAATCTGTTTGGACATACAGTGAAATAGGATCTGTGTTGGTTCTTGCTTTGCCAGTTATTTGTTATACTGTACAATACAGCTAGCTATCCCTCGAACACGGGTTTAGGTTCAGTTTGGTTCAACCGTGGGACCGTCTCCTGTTTGCTTCTTACTTAGACTTTAGGCCTTTTATTAGTTAAACCTGATAAAGCCCCCAAAAGGCAAATTTTTTGAAACGATGTCTTCGGCAACTCAGACGTAAAGATTTAAAGTGTGACTTGTATTTGTCTTTTGTGTTCATTTTTCTTCATGAAACAAGGATTTTGTGAGGAAAACAAGTACAAAAATTGAAGGCGTAAAGAGGCTGCTAACACATGATCCCCTTGTCAACTTAAGTTGCGTGGGGACAATTTGTTCATCACGCTTCTCACCCCTTGAAGAACAATAAATATATATGTAGAATTAGCTCAACAAAATTGGTGCTAACTATCTTGCTGGTTGAATCAAATGCAGATTTTTTTTTGTTGTTCAATAGTTAGCATTTCATTGAGTAATGAACTAACAAAAGTCGACCCGAATGGTCCGACATATAGAATCCACACATATTTTAAGGATATTCGGTGGAAAATACGAACTTTATACAGAAATGCGAGACTTAATCTTCGAAAAACTGAAGTTTGACTTAACTGAAGCTTGCAAGTTTCAATTGCTTCTTTGTCAAACTTTCGATTTCCTTGATATTTTAATAAAAAGTGATGAAGATTTCTTAAAAAACATTCTACAATTTTTTTTTTAAAAAATTAAAAGTTAATTATTATAATTAAGCTAGAAGCGGAATTGGGAGTATATTCCACAAAGAATCTCGTGCACGTGTGGGGTCACTGGAAAATGGTCTTAATCATCCTCTTATGTTACTTTTATACATCAAATGAGTTAAAATTTGAAACATCTTTATGGAAAATTATAAAATGCAAATTCATCCTTGAAACTGTAAATTGACTTTCATGTTAATGTTCTTCCAATTCATTGGTGGCCTCTTCACAAGTCAAAATTAGCAGTTATATTTAAGTTTGATTATTATATATCTGAATTTTTAGTACATAGTATCTACACGATAATATTAACTAATACAAACCGATACTTGTGACTTACACATGTCGATACATGTGCTTGCACAAGCTTTCGTGTGTACAAACAAATACGTATAATTTGCAAATCTTTGAACGACTCGTTTGTTGATACATATATAACGTAACATGTGTGCCAGATGTTGATGCTTTGTACTATAGAAACTGGGGTTAGAAGTAAGTGAATAGAGAAATCTCAACTACTTCCTACACATTTTCGTGACAATATGAAAGCAACTATGCTTTTGACTTTCTATACGCACAAAAGGGTTCTTCTATTTGTCTTATTTATGTTTAGAAATTTATCATATCTATATATGCATTATTTGAATATTGTATAAAAATAGTATAACCCTTGGTGAAATAAGTAAGTAATTAATGGAGGAATAAGGTTATGCATGAGAGTTGTTACACTTAATTGTGACGTCCCAAGATAATGGATGTGGTAAATCAAGTCATTGTCAATGCCAAATAAGAAAGACCAAGTCAAAGTCCAAATAAAAATTTGGACATGCTTTGATTAGTTGAGACGAGACAAAATTTAGCAAAATTGTATCCTTGCATAGTTAGCCAAAAAATTTAACGAGGTAGAATACTCCAATTTGTCACAAAAAAAGGAGGCCAACTTTGAAGGCTAAAAAATTTGACATGGCAATCGGTACCATGGTCTGATCTAAGAGCTTAAATTTCGAAAGAGATAATCAGCTCAGTATTAACATGACACGTGATCAACAATCGAAGAAAGGATATACTTTCAAATAAATTTTATTACACAATTTTGTCTAGCATACAAGTCATACATAGCCTATTTGAATCTCGAAAATACATTTAGAATATTACGACGTCTACTAATATATCATGTATACGTATATGCAAAGAGACGTCACTAATTCTTCAAGGCAACTATTGCTCTCTCACTTTAATAAAAATCAAATAGCTTAGTAAGAGGACATACATTGATTTTAATCTGAATTGTAAATAGTCATATTGTTGACGATCACTGACAGATTCTAAACGGTAATCGCTTTCGAAGTTGTATCGCTAATCATCGACTCACATACCATTGGTGATCATTGATGAAATTTCTATTAATGATATGAAAACTTAATCGTCTAAAAAGAGGGAGTTAATGTAAAGTGAAATGAACAGTAGCCCGGTGTGTCTCATCTTAGACTTGATCATCATACAGCACAGGGACGGATACAGTGGGAGGCTGGGTTGGGCTGTAGCCCCCCCAAAGGCCCCAAAAAAAAAAAAAAAAAATTTGTAAGGTTTTTTTTTTCTTAAAACAGTTTTTCATGTGTAAATTTTTTTTTTTTTCGCGTATTAGCCCGATTTGAAATTTTGTGGCCCAGTCTTGAATCCAATCCTGGATCCGTCCCTGATACAACGCATGCCATGTGGAGTTCTATGTGCACGATAGTAACTCAAGCACTAGTTTTATAGTCTACTTGCGTCTTCTTAATACATAAGCATGTGAAGCAAGTTTAGTTTCTAGAAATTGTGTCGATTTTTCTCAAGATAATGGCGAAAAAGGCATATACTGATAAACAAGACATTTGTTTAGTAACAAATTTTTTGTAAACATCTTAAACAAATTTTTTCACGAATCAATTCAACCCTGCTATGCAACATCTTAACAATGGATGATTAATTATCACAAAAATCTCATTTTGTAAATCAAAGGTCATGTTAGTAAATATTATATCTACGATATGGGTATTTATTGTAAAGAATGTAGTAAGAAAAAGGAGTTGCAATAAAATACATGCTATGGAAAGTAGAATGTTCGGAAAATATTGGAAAGAATTAGAAAATTTCTAAATGAATCAAATTAATACACTATTGTGTATTTCGAAGATTGAACTGTACAAAATTTACTTATTAGAGAAGAAAGATGAATCTCTCATTCATTGAAGAAAACACGAAAATGAATTAATTACATTGGTGATGCTTGTTTGTTATATAAATGCAATGGAAAATGAGCCAACTAACTAACTAATGAATACAATTGTAGATCAACCAACTAACTAACTAGATTCCATAAAATGGTGCCAAGGTAAGGTTGCTGATTTGCTGGCTTGGGTTGAGCTCTAATACTCCCCCTCAAGATGGACTATGTAGATTGAGTATAGTCATCTTAGACAAGAGAGGAAAGAGGAGAGATGATTGCAACAGTTTGGTGAATATATCAGCTAGTTGATGTTGAGTACGAACTGACAATAATTTGATAAAACCGTCATTAACCTTGTCTCGAACAAAATGGCAATCGATCTCGATATGTTTTGTGCGTTCATGGAAGATCGGATTATTGGCAATGTGAATGGCTGCTTGATTGTCACAAAAGATCAGAGCGGGGAGGGAAATGTTGACCTGCAAATCAAGAAGAATATGATGAATCCACACAATTTCACACGTAGTGGAGGCTAAGGCACGGTACTCTGCCTCTGTAGAAGATCTGGAGACGATCGTTTGCTTTTTAGACTTCCAACTAATTAAAGAGTTGCCAAGAAAAACACAAAAACCAGTGATAGATTCCCTGGAATCAATACATGACCCCCAATCAGCATCTGCAAATGCACGGATTTGGAAAGAAGAGGAAGCATCAAAGAACAAGCCTTGTCCTGGAGCTGCCTTTATGTATCGCAAGAGATGATGTACAACATCGAAGTGAGGCTGGCGAGGATGATATACAAACTGACTTAATCTGGGTACAGCAAAGGTGATGTCTGGACGTAATACAGTCAAGTATAATAATCGACCAACAAGTCGACGATATAAAGATGCATCATCAAGTAAATCCCCTTCAAAGGAGCTGAGCTTGAGCTTGGGATCCATTGGCAATAGGGCTGGTTTACAAGCCAAAAAACCAGTATCCTCCAGTAATTGCAAGGTATAGTACCTCTGAGAAAGGAAAATACTCTGCTGTGATCTCGCAATCTCCAAGCCAAGGAAATACTTTAGCTTACCAAGATCCTTCAATTTGAACTGATTATGCAGAAAGTTCTTTAATGAATCTATTATCTTAGTGTCTGATCCAGTGATGATTATATCATCAACATAAACCAGTAAAGCAATGAGGGAATCACCAGTCCTTTTTGTGAACAAAGAGTAATCCAATTTAGATTGTTGAAAACCATGTAATAAGAGTGCTTGAGAAAATTTTGAGAACCATTGTCTACTGGCTTATGGATTGCTGAGTATCTACACACAGATCTTTCTTTCTTCTGAAATCTGCTATTTGATTGTCCTACATTTGGCTTTCTAGCTTCATTTCTAATATAGAAAGCCATCGAGTCGTTGACACTAGGAACTTCAACATGCACATTTACTTTTCTTTGGTTCTCCTCTTGCACAACAAGAGCAAATACTTTGTTAATTGAGGGAATTGGATCCATTAATAGCAGCTGACCTCTTATCTGTGCAAATGATTCATGTAGCCCCATCAGGAAAGACATGACATATTCTATCCGATAGTATTCTGCAAGGCCTTTATTTCCTCCACATACACACTTGCCACATGAACATAAAGGCCTGTAACTACTGAGTTCATCTCAAACGGTTTTCAACTTTGTAAAGTAAGTACTAACAGATGATTTTCCTTGTGTTGGTTCATCAGATCACGCCTTAATTGGAATATATATATGGGCCATTCTTCTGCTGGTATCTCTCCTTAAGATCGGTCCAAACATCATGAGCTAATTCTGAGTATATAACACTCGCCGATATCTCCTTTGAAACCGAATTAAGGATCCATGAAATCAC